GAGAGAGAGAGAGTGAGTTTACCCATATGCCTCTCTTTAATTTTGTGGTCGTATAGAGTAAAATGGTCTTTCTTGCCTTTTCTTACATGTATTAGTTTAAAACCTAAGAGCTAAGGATTGCTCATTCCCTTCTCATGCATTTGTTTGATATTTTGTCTTTTCATATATTCCTTTTATAGAGTTTTCAGACTTATGTCCAGCAACATATTAACTTGCAAGAATGACAGTTAAAAAAATATATTAGAAAAATGAGATAGTGGTTTTCTTTGTTGGTGTTTTTTTTGTTGGAAAAATAATCTCTATCCCGTCCCTGAAATTTCCATCACTATTAGCCCATTGGGTTCACCAAAATCCCTTGTACCCAGTAAAGTTTAAAATTTTGAGACTGTTAGCCCTCTAATTATGTTTTTTTTTGCTCTTTTTGTAAATTTGATATTTTTATTTTATAACATGCCAAACCCTTCCATTAGTTAACTTCCTTTCCTTTCTCTTCCGTTGCCTAAAACCAATCTTACTTCCGTAGACCCCACTCTATAAATTATATCTTTCGAACTAGGAAAATGATTAATCAAGATCTTTTTATTGCTATTGTTAATGGATTATTATTTATTGAATTAAAAAAATTTCTCAAAATACCTATAAAAGATGAATTATTTAACAATTAAATATTATTGTTGTCATTATTGTAATAACAATTATAATTATTATTATTATTATTATAATCATCATCATCAATAAAATTTATATATCAAGTCACACAAAAAAAAATACCGATGACTAATGTAATGGCATTTTGTGTTCAAATTTGTAAAAAGAACAAAAAAAAAAACATAATTAAAGAGTTAATGGTCCCAAAGTTTTAAACTTACGGGGTACAAGGGATTTTAGTGATCCAAAGGGCTAAGCGGGATGGAAATTTCGGGGAGGGGTAGAGATCATTTTCTCTCTTTTTTTGTTTCATTTTTCTGGAATTTTTTTTGTTTTTTTTTGTATGTGGGGGGGGGGGGGGAATGGGTGGGTGAGAACATGCATTTTGCTATTTTACTATTCATTACCAAGCTATAGAAACTGGAATTTCAGGTTATCTTGGGCAGCATTCAAATGCAACCATGGGCGGTTTCCGTCATGTAGAAGTTCTTTGAAGCAAAGAATGGTTATTAGAGCAGAAGTGGACTATGTTGATAGTGAAGAGGCTAAAGTACTGGTTTCAAAAGAGGGTTATGCTGTACTAGATGTAAGAGATACATTTCAATATGACCGAGCCCATATCAAATCATGTCATCATGTGCCCCTGTTTATTGAAAATAAGGACAATGACCTTGGTATGGATTCTATTCTCTCAATTATATGTTAAGTTTCTCTATTGAGTTTCTTGAAACTTTTATTTTTTAGAAAAGTTTTTTGGATGTATCATGAAGGCTTTGATATGTAATACCATGAGTTTTGTTGCAGAAATTGTGAACACAAATTGTGTTGGGTTTTGTTCTGGTCCAAAAGGGAATCTAAGGTTTGGGAAAACATAATTCTCAAAACTGAAGTCCATATTCTATAATCTAAACTGATCACAAAGAAGAAGAGAAGGGAAAAATTACATTTGAATCAATATCCTTATATTGCAACTTGTAGCTCTGTGACTTGCGGTTCATTCGCAAACATTCAAACATAGGGGACACTTATATTTTTCACCTGATTTGTTATCCACTAGTAAAAATAAGGAAATAAAAATCCCTATGAAGGAAAAAAATTCTTATTTCGCCCACAAAAAGAAACCGGGTCTGTCAAAATTAGTGAAGGGATGAACTCAACCATTCATAGTCAGGGTGCTCTTAACCTCTCATGCTCCCGACGCATCATGCACCTCTAGAGCATTTTCCATATGATAAACTCTTCCTAGCTTTGGCTCTGATAAATGATAAGCAGATTGGGCCTAGCGGAGCCTACTAAAAGGGTTGGAGTTAGGCTCGAAAGCAACGGCTAGCGCGAAAGCGTTGCACTGACGCCCATCCCTTTTCTTGCATAAAATAAAATTAGACCAAAGAAAGAGAACTAAATAAAATTAACCTTCTTCTTCATATTTTTCCTTTGCTATTTTCACTATTTTATTTTCCCAATTCTGTGATATACTTCAAGTGAGATGCATTGATGGTATTTTGAGGCAAATGTTATTGCAAATTTGTAAATCAATATGGATATGAAGTGACAAATAGATTTTCTTCTTCCCTGATTGCCATTGAACATTTTCAGGTACAATTCTCAAACGAACTGTGCACAACAATTTTTCTGGATTGTTCTTTGGGCTGCCATTTACAAAGCCCAATCCTGAGTTCGTTAAGTCTGTAAATGAGAAGTTCTCAACTGACAGCAAATTATTACTAGTCTGCCAGGAAGGAATGAGGTTAGTGCAAGTTGAAACATTTTGGTAGTTGGTTATCCTTGAGTTTTTAGTTCCAATTTGTCTACACGTGCTATGAATTTATCCGGTTCTCATTGAGTGGGAGGTAAATTTCCATGTCGTTATCTTTCATGTAGTTTCGGAGGCCTTTGCTCTTTTCATTTTGAAATATCTGCATACAAATATTGGTTTTCTGTCTGCTCATTGGATATTTACCGTTTTTAACAATTTCAAAGATTGTGCAGGTAACTTCATCCCTGGTTCACTAATTTTTTTATAATTTTCTTTATGCAACTCTTGATGGCTTTACTTTTTATTTTGATGGAACTTTTTATTTCACAATCAGTGCTTACTGTATAGGAATGGAATCACATTTCTCAGTGTTTTGCCTGCAACATTATATGGTTCGAGAGCACAAAAGAAGGGATACATACATCTATGACCTGCAGGAAGAATATCTCCTGGCCCATTTGATTATGGGGGTCCTTTTTACACCTTCACTTTGTAGAGTCACAAAATCTATGAGGGATGTTGGCACCACCGTTGTGTTCTGCACTATGATACTTATGCAGTGAATAAAAAGAAAGAAAAGAAACAAGAAATTTTATGGTTTTGTGGTCTTTTGTTTCATTTGCAAATGAATAATTTCATGTTGACTAACTTGGTAGAGAGTCAAAGTAAAATGTAGCACGTGCTTGATCTACTTGTTAACTCTGAGATGCGTGAAACCCACTTTAGTATGGTAAATGTTTGTTAGTTGTCATAGAATCTTGAGCGTATGCGACTATGAGTAAAGCACCTGGACATTTGATGCTCTATGGATGACTTCAATGGCAGAGGGATTTTCCAGGCGTCGTGCTCATAATGGCAAAGAGAAAGGATGGGCAAGGTTCCATTGATTTGTAAAATCTTCCAAGTGAATAAGATGATATTTTATTTGAAGATAAACTTCTGTTGTTCTGAATTTTATGTGTGAATCTCCGCATGTATATTCTAAAGGCACCATGACAATATGGGATATGGATTAATTGGGATCCATAGTGTTGTGCTGGCTAGTGAATATCTGAATCCAGTACATCACTTTAAAGGAAGCTTTTAGCATGCATCAGAGTAAAGATTAAACAGCACAGACCATAGGGTTCTTGGCCTTGTCTGCTTAATATTTTCTTTAAATTTTGGCTCATACGATAAGTTGATCAGGTGCATGAGTTAACTAGCCCTCCTGGCTCGGTAGAGTGCAAGGCTCTTAACCTTGTGGTTGTGGCTTTGGGAAGTTGGGAAGAGTGGGTGGTTTATATTGATGAGTATGTTGAACCTCTGTAGGACTCTAGCTCAATGAGACTCTGCGTTTGCAGCCCAATGGAAGACCACCATGCAAGTAGGCCATTTTGGTATCCGTGGCTTACTTGCCACTGAGGGCTACCTACTGGTGATTTTCTTCATAGATTTGGAACTGTGGTTCAGGAATTCAATTTGGGATCTATATTGGCGACGAAGCTCTATTGGCATTTATTGAATTAGCCACTATATAAGATGTGAGGTTAGAAATTAAAATAATAATTGCATTTCAAATTACAGCTTGATGGGAGATATTTACAAAATATCAGACATGACAAACATCAGAACAGATGTAGTAGGTGTGCTACCTTTTAGTTATTAATTTCTCCAAAAACAACACATCTTCAAAAAATATAGTAGTGATGTCTCTGTTTTCCTTTTCTTTTTTTTTCTTCGTTAGATCTAATAGGATGCACATAGTGCATATCAAATATCAACAATAACTGTCATATCGGCCATCATTTTCAAAAGATATAGTAGTGATGTCTTTGTTTTCTTTTTCTTTTTTTTTCTTCTCTAGATCTAATAGGATGCACATAGTGCACATCAAATATCAACAATAACTGTAATATCAGCCATCATGCTGATATTTTCAGCCAATACTTTCACCAAACTGCTTGTTTTTACAACTGAGCAATTTGGCTTTATACCATCACGATTAGGTATATCGCCTATGGCATGGACTGGACCAGCTATATCAGCCATATATCATGTGGCTTAATACGAACATTTTAGATTTAGACAATTGATACAGTTATGATTTATAATTTTTTGTTTTTTTTATAATTAATAGAAAATGCTCTTAACATTCTGGTCATTCACTGTTAACATTGTACCAAGTATTGATGCATAATTTTTATGTCTGCATAGTGGCCTATGATTCTCAGATATATTACCAATTATAAATGACTGAAACTTTACTGAAGGGAAAAACCTTGATTTGCATGCATTCAAATTCACAATTCTACTGTCATAAAACATTGTTGTTTCTTGAATGAGGCATTTGTACTTTCATATAGAATCACAAGAAAATATCACTTATTGGTTGAGTGAAAAAACTGACATGCACTGTGCAACTTGTAACTAAGTTTTTATAGATATGTTTAACCAACCAGCTTTCACTGTACCTCGGGAGATTTATTAATTAATGGACTCAACTGTAAGCTAAGCAGCCATGTTTTTTGAATAAAGGAATACTAGAAAAGTGAATAGGGATGATTACAGAGAAAAGGCCAAATCAAGCTTAGTAATAAAATCTGCTTTTACTAAATTCAAACTCCTAATTGTGATTCTCTCCCTATTTCTTACTTTGACTACTTTTGCCACTGAGGTTTATTTCTTTCTAAACGATCCAACATTGTCACTTCATTTCTTTTCTGATATTTGTAGATCTGCAGCTGCTGCTAGACAACTTGAGGAAGAAGGCTTTCAAAATATATCATGCATTACCTCTGGTCTTCAATCAGTAAAACCAGGTTCATTTCATTCATTTTACAGCCACACATGTGCATGCAGAGAGCGAGAGAGAGAGAGAGACTTTGTGAAATTCAAATGACTATATTGCATGTTTTTACCATTATGAGCTGAAGGATTTCAAAACTTCATGTAGGAACATTTGATTCTGTGGGAAAAGTTGAGCTGCAAGATGCAGGCAAGGCTGGCCTTGTAACAGTTCAAGGCAAAATTTCAGCTGTATTAGGCACCATCCTCATTTGTAAGTTGATTCTTTCTAGCTCTTCTCATGGCTACACACTAGCTTTCTCATTTACATGAAAAACAACAATTATTTCAAGGATAAATTTTGGTGAATGCATCTCATTAATAATCTAGTAATGTTCTAATAGAATGATAAACAAGCTCTCAAGTTTCTCTTATTTGATTAGCTCTTATCATAATTCTTGAAAATTTGAAGGCTATTCACTTCAATGCTATGCATAGTTTCTGAACAATGTAGGAAAGTCGCAAAGAACATATCACCTCTTTGTTTCTCTTTATCTTTTTTTGATAATGTTAACATTTAATTGATAAAACAGAAAGGGGAATACAAAAGGCCTTGGCGATCCACGAAGGAGGATGCACAACGGAAATTAGAACAAAAAAGTAGAATCGACTCCTTTTTTAGGAGGCTACAATGGGACATAGCAACCAAATAAAATACGTCGATCCGAAAAAAGAAAAGACAAAAGAACTGTCCAAAAAGATTCAAGAACCCAAAAAATCATCAATTGTCCACCATCTCTGCTACTTCTTTGGCAAGTGTATTAGCGTCCTAGTTTCCTTCCCTCCATGTATGTATCAACACGACAGACATATTCTTGCATAGGTGATCAATCTCATCAAACAAGTGTGCCAGGAACTAGGGGGGAGAGGAAGAAAATCTTTGAACCCAAGAAATGGTGTTCTTGGAGTCTCCCTCCACCACTAGAGATTGTAAGTGGAGGGGGTCTATGAGCTTGAAGCCTTCCAACAGTGCTAGAGCTTCAGCTTCCATGGAGTTGGCATGGCCAATATGTTTGGAGATGGTAGCCAGTGTAAAGCAGAGGTGGTCCCATTGGTGGAGGTTTCCACCTAGTGGTCCTTAGCAGACGCACTCGATGGGCTTGGAGGACATTGCGCCAATCCTTGCTGAACACCGAGGCTGGTGGTAATAGCGATGGTTGGTAGCCCAGAAGATAATGGAGGACTTGGGCTTGTCAAAAAGGGGAATATTACTCTCGGAATGTTATGTTGTTTCGCTCGATCCATAGGGCCCATAACGTGCCTACCATCGAGGATTTCCAGAGTAGTATCCCCACCTTAGGCCAAGGATAAGGTTTGATGGCTGAGAGGATGGATGTTACCTCTGCCGTTAATACCCACAGAACATTTAAGAGTTTAAGGATTGCCCCCCATATGCTTAGGGCAAAGGGACAATGCAACAATAGGTGGTTATTTGTTTCCTCAGCTGTTCGGTACATAACACATCTGTTAGGGATTGGGATGCCCCTTCTCTGCAACTGATCCACTGTGAGGACTCTCTCAGAAAGGGCTAGCCTCGTGAAGATCTTAATTTTAGGGGGGGGCGAAGGAGTCCCATGCTTGAGCAGCTGTAGCAGCAGGAGCTAAGGGGAATGTTAGAGGTAGGGAGAGGCTTTTATAACAGGAAACTGTGAAGAGGCCAGAGGGTGTAGGTGCCCAAATAATGCGATCTGGACCTATGGGTGCTAAGAAGGTGGATCGAAGTTCTGCCGCTAAAATTGTGAAGCTTGCTATCTCAGAGTCGTTAAGGGCCCTCCTGAAGATTGGGTTCCACGAGAGAGTGGACCCTACCAATAGCATTTCATCCACTATAGTGGCCCCTTGATCTCTAGCTAAAGAGTAGAGGTTGGGGAATCTGTCCCTAAGAGGAGTGTGGCCTAACCACATGTCTTGCCAGAATAGAATGCGGTTCCCTGATCTCGTATGGAATTTGATTCTAGATTTGAAAGCATGGAACGCAGAACATATCGACCTTCAAATGCCGGAGGATGTCTGATTAGCCCTATAGTTCTGCAGCCCACGGTGTATTGGAGAGATGGTATTTATGCTTGAGTATATCTATCCACAACTGATCCCTGAGGTTCGTCAGGTGCCAACACCATGTGCCCAGGAGAGCCAAATTCTGAGTTCTAAGATTCTTGATCCCAAGCGCGCCTCTTTTTCTGGACTGGCAAAGTTTATCCCAAGCAAGTAAGTGGAATTTTTTATTGGCTCCATCTCCACACCAGAAAAACCTTCTCATTAACTGTTTGATACTGGAACTGACTGCCATGGTCATGTGGAAGATGGACATTTGGTAGACCAGGATGCTAGCCAGAGTGGCTTTAATCGGTGTTAGCCTTCCTCCCGGAGAGAGAAAGTGACATTTCCATCCTGCTAGTCTACAGTCCACTTTGGACGACAGTCTCAATTTTGGTTTGCCTAAGCAAAGTGGCAGTCCAAGGTATTTAGATGGCAGTGTTTCAGCCTCACAACCCCATCTCTCAGTGAAATTGGATAGTGTAGTTGAATCAACCTTAACACCCATCATCTTGGTTTTGTCGAAGTTGACTTTGAAGCCAGTTACGAATTCAAAACACCCGAGAAACAAGAAGAGGTTATGGTTCTCTTCGATTGTGGCATTGCATAATACCAATGTATCATTTGCGTACTGGAGGTGAGAGGCCGTAGGGGCCTGAGACCGGAGCGAGAATCCATGCAGGTGTACGGCCGTATACATTCTAGAAATTGATCTATTGAAGACATTAGCGGCAATGGCGAATAGGAATGGAGATAGGGAGTCTCCCTGTCTGAGGCCTCTAGTAGAAGGGAAGTATTCTTTGGGGGTACCATTAATGAGCATGGAGAAGTGTGGATGCTAGTAACAAGCTTTCATCCATGCTCTTAATTTAGTCCCGAAACCCATCTTGGCCTGAGTTTCTTCAAGGATATCCCAATCTACGTGTTTGTAGGCCTTCTCCCAATCCAACGTAACTACGATGCCAGGGGCGTTGGCCAGATTTCTTTGTTTCTCTTTATCATACTTTATTCGTTTGTCTTTGTTCTAAAATAGCTATTAAATCTGGATAAACAAAATATGTAGTTTGAGATGATCGTTGCCGTAACTTTGTTGCTTTTAATCAAAGCTTAATTCATATTCTTTGTTCTGATATGTAATCATCACATGCAGGTGCATATCTCTTAATTACTTTCTTTCCCGAACAGGCAGAGAAACTTTTTCAGCTGGGCCCTACTAGCTAGACTCTACATAACAGAAAGAATATTAGAGAGGATTTGTTCTCATTCTTTGTGGCTTCATGAAATGATGATGAGCTACTTGTGCAATGCGAACTAACAACATGTTGAAAGCACATTGGACAAGGAAATGTTCCAATGTACCCTGCTCCATGTGGCTGCTGAGGTCCGTGTGTGTGTCAGAGAGAGAGAGAGAGAGAGAGTTTGATCCATCAAGTGGATGCTCCCTCTGATAAATATCCTATATTTAGGATAATTTAAAAAAAAAAATACCATTCAAGAGAGAGAGAGTGAGAGAGAGAGAGAGAGAGAGAGAGAGATTTTATTGGTAATTGTAAATTGAAGTTTCCTTGGGGAGTACATATATTTTTTTGCCTAGTTTGGCTCCAAAATCCAAACTCAAGCAAACACTAGCAGCAACTCACATGAGATTTTGGTTTAAAGCAAATTGTTTCCACACATGCTATTCATGTATGATTTGCAAATAAAAAATGTTAGACTCATGAAATCAACATATTAACCCACCTCTCAGGAAAAAAAAATTATATGCTTTCTTAAATTTATCTTCCTTCAATATTTGCTAGCAGCGAATTGCTGATTGCGGAAAGCATGTTACAATGCCTCTAATTCACAGAGAGCAGTTTGGAAAGTAGTGCAAATTTAATACAAAAGAGTTTTATTCATGAATGAGGGCAAAATAGCGAACATTTTGTGGTGTTTTTCAAATAAGCAGGCGAGAGAAAGCAGTCTCTTTACAAATAATTGGCCCATACAAACTGGGGCCTAGGCTTGTTAGAACCTAAAAATTACATTATAAATGCATCGAAGATAAAATTTAGAAAACAAAAGGGTGGGTGTTTGCTAAAGGTACTTGAACTATGTATGACATGTGACTGGTATTTTAGAGGCGAGCTGCTCAGGCAAGTCCAAGTAAGTCTCACCCTGAGTTCATTCCTATTTTTTTTAAAAAGAAAGAAAAGAAGGCATAATATTTCCTCCCGCTTTTTTAACATTAGTTGTTGAATGGTGTAGTGGTTAGAGACTAGCTGCCTTTGGGCGCCTCCTTTATGAGGGATCTTGGGTGGTTTGATTACCATGAATCTAATTTTTTTAGCTCATGTACTGTATTTTAGTACGGAAAAAAAGTGACGATAATGAGCATTCGTGCAACATTTGATTTGTAATAGACAATAATTTATATAAACTATAAAAATTTGGTGTACATTTTGCTTGGCGGAAACTCGCCTAGTCCTTAGGGCGAGCCGAGTTACTTGGCCGATTCCGTGTAAGCCTTGGCTGAGTCTCAGAACACTGCAAATGATCATTTATTCAAGAAAAGAGGGAGATGGAATCAAAGAAAGAGGATTGACTTTGATTGCTAGCTATTGCTTTTGTGATTCATGCTTCCTCCTTGAATTCAGTTTTCTCACAACACATCTCCATTGTAAGTGTATGTAAATGGCAAATTTTCTGTAAGGTTTTTCTTTGATCTACAGAAAGTGACTTTCGACCAGTCAATGGCAAGATACACAAACTGTTTCCAAGCTTACAAACTGGAGCATTGATTTGGGTTTTCAAGTTATTCACATAAACCACTATTGAAAGCTTTAAAGCACCATAACTAGAGCTATCAGCAATAAAAGGGAATACAGGAAACATGGTAGAGAGCCTAAAATTACACATTCTATTAGCCTTAGAAACATAAGCCGCAACCCAATAGCCCAACATTCACTGCATACTACTGAACAATTTTTCGTGCAATCGCCAATTGCAAAACATTTTTTTGGCTGAACCAGCCAGATGCTTGAAGCGGTCCTACGTGTTGTATTGAAATATGAGAATAAAGAAAAACAATAATTACATTGGTCACACCATGCATTATCACTCTCTTCTCCATGTACACAAAGTCCTCGCTACATGGATATGTCAGTTGGGTAGGCTTGGAGGTTGGACTCTCCATCTTCTATAAATGGTTATTTTGCCTTCATTCTTCGGTGTGATAAGTACATATTTTATGGTTCTATTTTTACCTTAAAAGCGAAAAAGTTATTTTCAAATAGAATGTTAAAAAAACGACATAGTTGAAAGTAGTGAGAAAAGATATATAGACTTATGGTCTCACTGAGGGAATGACGGATCATGATTTTTGCGTAGCCGATCTCAAATAGTTGAAAAAAAGTTCTGATAATGATAATGAACCAAAGGACTGCTTGCCATCTTACTTTTCTTTTCCAATTTTGTTCTTGCCAAATTACATATACAATGTGTGGACAACGAGACTGCCCAAATCTCTATTGTGTTCCATTTGATCCTCTCTCCATAGATTCTAGCCATCCAATGGTTTTTCAAGCAGGAAGGAATGAGAAGAGGATTCATAGCATGGGAATTTGTTTATTGTTTGACCCAAACAATTGGGCTTTTCTGCTGATTTTTTAGGTGATCATGAATCTGAATATTTTTTTCTCATTTGTTCCTCGACAATTTCGCTTTTGTTTCAAATTTTTTCTAGCAAATCACTGCTGGTCAATCTCTTTAGCTTTCTTTATGCTTTTAAAATCACAAGCCGGAAATCCTCTGTTTTGTTTTGAGTTTTCACTAATACTAGCCTCTTGAGTCCATTTTTTCACTAATACTAGCCTCTTGAGTCCATTTTTTCACTAATACTAGCCACTTAGTCCATTTTCTTACGATAATTCCAACCTAAAAAATCGATGAATCACTCAATCAGGATTAAAATTCATTTTTGCAATCCGGTTCCCATAATCAGTGAACTGGATGGTAATTGAAAATCCACCCCAACTGGTACTTTCTTTGATATCAAAGTAGTTTGGCTGGCCCATCCCTCTATCCCTTCACCGGTAAGCAACTTGAATAAATGCACTCCCCTAAAATGTTTCACACGTGAGGAAGTCATGTCCAACATTCACATAATGGGAGGAGAAGCAATCTTTTATAGAACCCATGTTTCTCCAAATTTACGATGTGGGACAATTTCATCTCCTCTTCTCGACAATAGCATATTCTTTCATGTAGAGCATAAAAACATTGTGAATAATATCCGCTAAAATGAAAACACAAATTTGTATCCCATAAAAAACTATATAAAAATAATATATAAATATAAAAAAGAATCATGATGCCTTTAAATTTTTAAACTTGAGGAAACAAAAATTAAATTTTAATTAAACACAAAGGGTTTTCAATATTTTACTTGGATCTTACAACCACCCATGTTTCTCTCTACTAAGGGGACATAACCAAAATTAGTAGAGAGAGAAGTTATCTTCAAGAGGAATTTTAGAGTCTGAGAACTTTAGAATATTCAATAATTAATACACATTCATATAAGCAACAACATAATATTTTTACAAAAATAATGAAAGTACATAATACACCACCCTTAACATATAGAAAACTAAAAAAAATACTATTTTTAGGGTTTTTAGTGATTTTTTGGAATTTTTTAGTCAAAGCCGATCGATCCAGCCTATTATGAGATCCGGTTCGCCGATCTACCAATCCGACTCGGTTTTTGGGATGATCGATCCGGGTCAACAATTTGCCTTTTTAAACCTTGATTCCAACCATGGAGTCCTTTACTGTGGGATTTCACAATGCCAGGTTTTTCAAGTGGTTAGTGGTGGTTTTAAACCCAACCTTTCTACGTCTTTCCTAATCCCATTTTTGTGCAAATGATTTGCACAAATGTTATAACATGGTTATGTTTTGTAAACCCTAAATTTAGCATCACATTGAAATAATTATTCAAATTTCAAAGAATCAAGTATTTGCCGTTGTAACTTAATATAGTTTTTTTTGGGTAATTTTGTGGGGGAAAACAGGCCCTACATATTTTTTCAAGTAGATTAGGAGTTAGTTTTTTGAAAATGTTAGTAGGGTGGTGACTAAGATGCGGGTGCTACTACAAAAAAACCAACAAAACCCTAAATTGAACATGCGAACTTAAAAGATTTAAACTTAACGATAAATTACCAATGGCAACTAAAGATGTTCTAAAACCCTAAACACAACATTGATTTGGATTGCCAAAGAGCCCAAACTAGACATATTCAGTAGTGTGAGAATTGGTAAAAAATAATTTATATGATAATTTTAAATTTAAAAATATAAATTTTGAAAAATAAAGATAAAAATAAAAGGGAACCAGGTGATTCGGCTGATCCAAATATGCTAATTTCCTGACAAATTCCCCTTGTTCTCGCAAACCGATTCTTGGTTTTGATTAAGGACTAAGTAAGCATTTTTTAAACCAATGGCATCTAACATAACTATACTAGCCATTAAAACGTACTATATTACTTGTATAAAATAAAAGAAAATTTATCAAAATACGCAACTATTAAATATATCTTTCAATTTAATTTAAAAAATCCCATCAAAATATACTTGATCATGTAATTGGAATCGATATTTTAAACAACATACCACCCACCCATAGAGTTTTATTCGAATCGGTGGTCGACCAAGCCCAAAAAAGCAAAAGAAAAATAAAATAATTATATAAGGGATCGTATACTATGAGACCATTTATCTTTGATGCAAAGAGATCACAACTACTTTTAGTCCTTAAATATCAAATTAGGTGGCTTGGAGTATCACAACAATTGAGAATTTTAATTTTTTGAACTTTGACTCTAGTCAGTAACACTCTTACAACCACCCAACTTGAAATTTGACAGACAATAGTGTATGACCTCTTTGTACCAAAAGTAAATGGTCTCTTTGTATACTTTTTCATTATATAATACATTGTACACATGTTAATCTAGAGTAAACAACTCCACAAAATATAAAGATTAATGTTAAATAGGTTGTGACAGTTTATTACTTTTTTGTTTGAAAATTTATTTTAATAGGTAACTTAATTATTAAATGTGAGTAATTCTGAAATTTTTATAAAAGTGAAATCATATTTTAGAAGTTAGTATCCTGAAACAATAAAGGATGAGTGACAAGACAAGAGGGGATGAAATTCGAAATGAATCTATTTCGAGAGAATTTAGACATGACACCAATATGATAAAATGAGAGAGAGTTGACTTAGTTAGGTTGGCCATGTGCTGTGTCAACCAAGTACGACACTTGTTAGGATGTGTGAGTTAGTTCAAGTGGAATAACCGAAAAGGGTAAAAGGTAGGCCTAAAACGATGTGGTTGGAAGTAGTTCGAAAAGATATGGGGACTTATGACCTCACTGAGGATATAACTTTTAATAGAGCAGAATGGAGAACCATGATTCTTGTAGTTGATCCCAATTAATTAAAAAAAGGTTAAAATGATGATGATGATGAGTATCTTGAAACATTTTTTTTCAGTTTTATCTTTTACGAAGATGACAAAAGTTCTATTATCTTTTAATAAAATTTACACAAACACCCTTACTTGATAACACATGACCACAATTTTTTTTTTTGTTTTTTTAA